AGTACAAGCTTGATCTCTTTTCTAACAAAGAAAGAAACTGGTACTTGGCTGGGACTGTTGACAGTTTCTTAAGCACTGATTGAGTGACATTAGCAGCAAAATCTCTTTTTTCCTGTAATGTGAGCTGTGCCTGAAGCCAGCTAGCATCTTTCTTCTATGAGAGTCAAAGCTGTTTCTTTTATTAGGTGGTTCCACATACTTCTGTCCTGGATTGTATCACAAGGGAAAAAATCGTCCCCAATCCATTCCTGCTTGTATTCCCATGGAATATTTTAGGCATGTCAGCTGTTAGGGCCTGATCAAGGATTTGATCCAGTTGGCTCTCTAGCCTCAATTAAGAATCTGTTTGAAAAGCCTTCAGTAGTAACATTTAGTTTCTAGAGTTACAACCATTATTTTGTCTTTTATGCCTGTTGTACTTTCAAAAGGGTTTATGTAACTGGGAAAATATAACAAAGTAGATGCTTTTATCAATAATAGCGGGGTGATATTTGATGAAATATTAGAAGGTGATATGTTTGGGGGCTGGAGGTTGGAGGGTGTTTTTTGTTTCTTTGTTTGAGACAGGGTCTTGCTCTGTTGCCCAAGCTAGAGTGCACTGGCAAGGTCTCAGTTCACTGCAGCTTTGACCTTCTGGGCTCATGTGATCTTCCTGCCTCAGCCTCTTGAGTAGTTGAGACTACAGGCGTGTGCCACTCTGCCTGGGTAATTTTTTATTTTTTTGTAGAGATAGGGTCTCACTATATTGCCCAGCTGGTCTCAGACTCCTGGGCTCAAACAATCCTCCCACCTTGGCCTCCCAAAGTGCTGGGATTATAGGCGTGAGCCACCACTCTTGGTCGTCTCAAACTCCTTTTTAAAAAAGTCTCCAAGGCTGTCTCTACAGAAAAAAAGGAAAAGAAAAATAGCTGGACATGGTGGTGTGGACCTGTGGTCCCAGCTACTTGGGAGGTTGAGGCTGAGATAGGAGGATAACATGAGCATGGGAGGTTGGGGCTGCAGTGAGCCATTATCACACCACTGCACTCCAGCCTGGGCAACACAGTAAGACTATGTCTTGAAAATAAATAAGAAACATATATATATATATGAGACATTTTTAAATGGTGAGGTAAATATCAATAGAAGATCTGATATTTTCTTTTTGTATCCCAGTGGAGGCTTTTTGCATCCCTTAGTGCAGTTACTCTTCTTTGGAGACCATTGACCTAGATCACTGATGGGGGAGCCCAGCCCAAGCTTTTTGTTTTTAATAAGTTACTTAGGTGATTGTGATTTTGATGTACACTGCAGTTTTGAGATCCACTGATCTGTATCATTCGAATTTCTTGTAGTTACTTATGAAATGAAGGCAAAGAAAAGGTTTGGTCAGAAGAGGAGAAGCCATGCAGTTTTAACTTTGGCTACCAAGCTGAGGATCAGGTGGAAAGGATAACCTTATTTTCTTTCTTTTCCCTTTCCTTTCCCTTTCTTCCTTTCTTTTCTTTTCTTTTTTTTTTTATGATGGAGTCTTGCTCTGTAGCCCAGGCTGGAGTGCAGTGGCACAATCTCGGCTCACTGCAACCTCCCCCTCCCGGGTCCAGGCTCAAGCAATTCTCCTGTCTCAGCCTCCTGAATAGCTGGGATTACAGGAATGCGCCACCATGCCCGGCTAATTTTTGTATTTTTAGTAGAGACAGGGTTTCACCGTGTTGGCCAGTCGGGTCTTGAACTCCTGACCTCGTGATTCGCCCACCTCAGCCTCCCAAAGTGCTGGAATTACAGGCATGAGCCACTGCGCCTGGCTCTTCCTTTCTTTTCTTCTTTTTTTTTCTGTTTGTGGCAGGGTCTCACTCTGTCACCCAGGCTGGAGTGCAGTGGTACAATCTCAGCTCGTTGCAGCTTCTGCCTCTGAGGCTCAGGAGATCCCACTTCAGCTTCCCGAGTAACTGGGACTACAGGCATGCGCCACCACACCCAGCTTTTTTTTGGTATTTTTTGTGGAGATGGGGTTTTGACATGTTGCCTAGGCTGGTCTCGAACTCCTGTGCTCAAGCGATCTGCCTGCCTTGTAAAGTACTGGGATTACAGGCGTGAGCCACTACATCTGGCCCTTATTTTTAAAGATGATTAAAACTTACCCTGAAAGACCATCATGCTGATGATCTACCATACTATTATATGTTCAGTTTTTCCTGTGTCTTCATAGTGATCTTTCTGATTATTTCATTTCCTTAAAATCTGATATTTTGGTCTTAAATGCGGGATAAAGTCCAAATTCCCTAATGTGGCTTACAAAATTTTCATGATTTTGACCCCTGCTAACCTTCCATAGCTTTTATTGCTCCTTCCCCCATGCTTGCCCCCTGGAAAACCTGTTTCTCTGAAAACAAACAGAAGCAAAATCAAAGAAAGCTTCTCAACTCCAACCACAATACATGATCTGTAGTTTACTGTAAACCTTTTCTGTGCTTGGTTATTTTGCCTGCATTGCCTTTCTTGCGTTTTCCTAATGGAAAACTACTGATTGATTAAGATTCAGTTCAAACATTTTTTCCTGACCTCTCTAAACAACTGGTACTCTCTCCTCCATGTGATTTTATAGTACTTACCGAATTGCTGAAATTACTTAAAAGTCTCCTTTCTAGTAGGCTGAGTTCCTCAAGGATAAAGAGAGTAAATTACAATATAAGTTTCATGAGGGCTGGTACAGTCTTTTGTTTAATCGCAGTATCTGGGTATAATAGTAGCTATTTATTTAATGAATCTATACATCTTCAGTGGGCTTTAAATTACTTGTTTATTAAATAAATTATAAATTAATAAGTGAATGAGTTATAAAATCCCAAAAGTAATCTTATTTTATGGGGTCAGACTTAGAAAGGAGAGCGTCTTCTTTGAAATCTTGAATACATGGCATTTTTAATGCCAGGACACAATACACAAATCTGTATATTTTTGTATAATATCTGATTTCATTTTCTGTATAAGAAAGACTTGGATAATATTTTTAAATTTTTAATTTATTTGTTATGTTTTTTGGAAACAGGATCTCACTCTCCCACCCAGGCTGGAGTTCAGTGGTGTGATCTTGACTCACTACAGCCTTGATCTCCTAGACTCAAGCAATCCTCCTACCTCAGCCTCCCAAGTAGCTGGGACCACAGGTGCACACCACCATCCCCAGCTGATTTCTGTATTTTTTGTGGAGTTGGGGTCTCACCATGTTACCTAGGCTGGTCTTGAACTCTTGAGCTGAAGCCATCTGCCTGCCTTGGCCTCCCAAAATGCTGAGATTACAGGTGTGAGCCACTGCTCCCAGCCTTGAATAATTTTTATGGATTTTAATATTGGTATTTAAATGAGAAGATCTAAAAGAAAACAAAGGAAAAGCTTCTTGACATTGGTCTTGGCAGTGATTTTTTTTGTTTAGGACACCAAAAGCACAGGCAACAAAAGCAAAAACAAGCGGGACTACCTCAAACTAAAAAGCTTCTGCACAGCAGAGGAGAAACAACAAAATAAAAAGGCAACCTATGGATTGGGAGAAACTGTTTGTGAACCATATATCTGATAAGGGATTAATATCTAAAATATTTGAGGACCTCAAACAGTAACGATAAAAGGAATAACCCAAAAACGGGCAAAGGACCTGCATAGACATTTCTCCAAAGCAAACGTGCAAATGGCTAACAGGTGTTTGAAAAGGTGCTTAACATGATTAATCATCGGGGGAGTGCAAATCAAAACCACCATGAGTTATCATCTCATACCTATTAGAATGCCTTTTATCAAAAAGATAAGAAATAAATGTTGGCAAGGATGCAGTGAAAGGGGAATCTTTGTACACTGTTGGTGGCAATGTAGACTGATGCAGCCACCGTGGAAAATGCTGTAGAGCTTCCTAAACAAATTGAAAATAGAGCTGCCATATTACCCAGCAGTTCTTCTAGTTATAGTCCCAAAGGAAGTAAAATCACCACTTTGTAAAGATATCTGCACTCCCATGTTCATTGCAACATTATTTAGAGTAGCCAGGAGATGGAAAAAAACAAAATATCTGTTGATGGGCTGAATGAATGGATAAGGAAATTATGGTATATATACACACAATGGAATATTCAGCCTTAAAAAAGGAGATTCTACTGTTTGCAACACCAATGATGAACCTAGAAGACATTATGCTAAGTGAAATAAGCCAGATACACCAAAGAATACTGCATGATTTCACATGTGGAATCTAAAAAAACAGTCAAAAAAGGAAACCATAGAAACAAAGAGCAAAACAATGATTGGAGGCCAGGCGTGGTGGCTCATGCCTGTAATCCCAGGACTTTGAGAGGCCAAGGTGGGAGGGTTGCTTGAGCCCAGGAGTTCAAGACCAGCCTGAGCAACATAGGTGAGCCTCTGTCTCTACAAAAAATAAAAAAATTATCCAGGCTAGGTGATGTGCGCCTGTAGTTCCTGCTGCTCGGGAGGCTGAGGTGAGAGGATCTCCTGAGCCTAGGAGGCTGAGGCTGCAGTGAGTCATGATTCCACCACTGCACTCCAGCCTGGGTGACAGAGTGACTCTGCCTCAAAAAACAAAAAACAATGTGGGGGAAGGATGGAAAGATGTAGATCAGAGGGTACAAAGTTGCAGATACGTTGGATGGATGTCTAATGTACAGCATGAGGGCTATATTTAATAATATTGTATTATGTACTGGTAATTTGTCAAGACAATAGATTTTAAATACTTGTACCACAAAAAAAAGAAAAAAAGAAGTGAAAGTAACTATATGGGATAATGAGTATGTTAATTTGTTTGTATTAATCATTTCACTGTGTATATGTGTATCAAGATAAGTATATCAAACAGCATGTTGTGTTATACATCTTAATATATAATTTTAAAAGTTTAAAAAATCAGTTGGAAAAATAAATAAATGAGAAAACCTAGAAAAATAGCCAAATAACTTTATTAAACTTGAGAATTTATTTTCCAGTGTTGAGATATTATTTTTTATTATTTTCTATAGGGTGTTTGTGAACCGAAGTTTAGCCATGGAAAAGATAAAGTGTTTTGGTTTTGATATGGATTATACCCTTGCTGGTGAGTAGCAATTTCTGATTGCTTAAGAACTGCTGCTTTGGGTATAACACAGTGGGTTCACAGTAGGCAATTCAATTAACATTTGCTGACTTAAGCATGTATGTGGCTACCAGAAGCTTTTATTATCAGATTGCTTCCACTAAGATTTATGAATATTGAAATTATCAGATATCCTTGAGATTTGGCTCATGAGTTTGCACACATAGATAGAAAAAGTATTAAATTTTACTATTTTAGAGATCCTGGTAAGAAATAATATGGTAAAATCATACATTGATACGTATATTTGGGCATTTTTGACTTTTACTCTTAGCCATTCTTTAGGTATGAGATTTTGTATCTCTTACTCTGCCACAGATAAACTTGTATCAGTTAAAAATTTTAATGTTAGTTTTTTTTTTTTTTGGAACGGAGTTTGACTCTTGTCTTCCAGGCTGGAGCGCAATGGCGCGATTTTGGCTCCCTGCAACCTCCACCTCCTGGGTTCAAGCGATTCTCCTTCCTCAGCCTCCCAGGTAGCTGGGATTACAGGTGTGCGCCACCATACCCGGCTAAATTTTGTGTTTTTAGTAGAGATGGGATTTTACCATGTTGGCCAGGCTGATCTCGAACTCCTGACCTCAGGTGATCTACCCAGCTTGGCCTCCCAAAGTGCTGGGATTACAGGCGTGGGCCACTGCACCCAGACAATACGTTGTTATTAACACAGATGGGAAATGGGTTCATTTTCCATTTAAATGATTGCACACATAATATGTATAAGGCTTTTAAAAAACTAGAGCCGCAGCCATAAGAAAGAATGAGTTTGTGTCCTTTGCAGGGACATGGGTGAAGCTGGAAGCCATCATTCTCAGCAAACTGCGCAGGAACCAAAAACCAAACACTGCATATTCTTACTTATAAGTAGGAGTTGAACATTGAGAACACATGAACACAGGGAGGGGAACATCACACACTGGGGCTTGTCCGGGGTGGGAGGCAAAGGGAGGGAGAGCATTAGGACAAACACCTAATGCATGCAGGGCTTAAAACCTAGATGACGGGTTTATATATGCAGCAAACCACCATAGTACGTGTATACCTATGTAACCTGCATGTTCTGCGCACGTATCCCAGAACTTAAACAACAAAACCCAAAAAACTCAGGGATGTACTAGACTTACTTTTCTGTACCTAGGGTATATGCAGGAATTTAGCCAGTCTTCCCAATGGTCAACTGCAATTAGATGGAGGACTGGGCAAGAAGTCACTGAAGCTCCATGACAAACATGGAAAAGATGAACTTCTTTTTTAACTTGTAGAATCCTTAGTCTGTGTAGATGTTTTCATCAGCATGTTTTGTCCTTAGGATGTGGGACATTGGGTACCATCTCATGGTCTTCTATTTGTGTAAACTTTGTGTTTAAGTTTCCACATCCTTTTTTATTAAATAAATTATATAGCTTCTGAAACCAACCAACCAACCAACCAAACAAACAAAAAACTAGAACCATTAGCTTTATTCATTATCCTATAGCCCTTACACCAGCACTGTGCTGTTTTTCCCTTCCTTCTCTAAGATATATTTGAGTCAATGTATTAATCAATAGTTATAACATCTTTCCAGAACTTAGTAAAATATTTTCAATCTCGTGAAAATGCATTTAATTTAAGAAGTAGTGGGGAGGTGGGATCAAGTTGAGCATATGTGCTTGCATGTGTGTGTGAAACTGTGACAGAATCTTTCAGAAATTGTCTCTTAAAAATTTTGTCTTTACACAAAAACCTTAAAATGTATAAAGACACTTCTTAGGAACTATTAATATAACAGTGCTAATTTGTCCATCTCAAATTAGAGAAATCGCAGTTTGATGTTCAGTTTAGGCTACAAATGTAAATGAATAATACATGTTCAAAAATGAAATTATGGGGGTACTTGCCACATAGATATGGCCATGATTTTTTTTACCAAACAAGTAATACATTAAAAATATACACAGTTCCTGATTTGAATTTTTCTCTTCCCTCCATACTCTTTGTCATTTATTTGTTTTTCTATTGCCTTAAGCTTATTTTTGCAGCATTTAATGTTTTTCTGATTGGTCACAGACACTTTTAGGAGTACTTGTCAGAAAGCAGGGGAAAGCAGTCTACTTTCTCAATGTAGATCTTGCCGTTCAAATGGGGAGAAAATCCTATAGTCTCTTCTTTCAAGAATTCTAGCTTTCTAGGGAAAGGAATAGTGAGATAATTTGGCAGCTGAAAGAGATTATCTAAAACAGAAATAGAAGTTAATGGTGTCAAAAAGTGACAAACATTTTTCCCTTGGTTATTAAGACAATATCATTACATTGAAATAGTTCAATTCAGTAAGTATTTATTGAGAATCTATAATGTGCCTGGCACTTTTTGTTACTGAAAACTGAGATGATTATATATTCCCACAGAATAATGAAAAAATAAACTATCTTGTATATTGAAAAGGTCACTGAATCGGCCTTGCGCGGTGGCTCATGCCTATAATCCCAGCACTTTGGGAGACTGAGGCGGGCGGATTACTTGACAGGAGTTTGAGACCAGCCTGCCCAACATGGTGAAACCCCGTCTCTACCAAAAAATACAAAAATTAGCTGGGTATGGTGGTACTCGCCTATAGTCTCAGCTGTTCAGGAGGCTGAGGTGGGAGAATCGCATGAACCAGGGAGGCAGAGGTTGCAGTGAGCCGAGATGGTGCCACTGCACTCCAGCCTGGGCAACAGAGTGAGACCGTGTTTCAAAAAAAAAAAAAAATTAACTGAATCTGTCTCTAAACTTTAATGCACCTTATGATTTATTCTTTTTGGTTTTTGCAATGCCACTTCATATTTTAATGCTTTCTCCTAGTCTACACACAAATATATTTTGTGTATATTTAACAGTAAGTATTAACATTTGTTAAGTACTTATTATATGCCAGACCTGTTCCAAGTGCTTTATATAGATTATCTCATTTAACACATGGATTCTGTTATTCACATCTGTTATTTAATATTTACAGAAACTCTTTGAAGCAGTTACTATCATCTTCATTTTACATATGACTGAGATTAAGCACTTTGTCCAAGGACATTTAGTTATGATGTACCTGAACCAAGATTCAGACCTAAGCATGCATATATGTATAGGCATATAATGTTAAAATTATCATTTTGGATAATGACAGTTTATCGAGATTTTCATATAAATAGAAACATATAGTGTGTTAGTCTGTTTTCACACTGCTGATAAAGACATACCTGAGACTGGGCAATTTACAAAAGAGATTTTTGTCTTGTTTTGTTTGAGATGGAGTCTCACTCTGTCACCCAGGCTGGAGTGCAGTGGTGCAGTCCCAGCTCACTGCAGCCTCTGCATCCTGGGTTCAAGCGATTATCCTGCCTCAGCCTCCCGAGTGGCAGGGATTACAGGTGCCAGCCACCATACACGGCTAATTTTTGTATTTTTAGTAGAGATGCAGGGGGCAGTGGGGGTTTCATTATGTTGGCCAGGCTGGTCTGGAACTCCTGACCTCACGTGATCTGCCTGTCTTGGCCTCCCAAAGTGCTGGGATTACAAGTGTGAGCCACTGAGCCCGACCAGAAAGAGGTTTCATGGACTTACAGTTCCACATGGCTGGGGAAGCCCCACCATCATGGCAGAAGGTGAAAGGCATGTCTCACATGGCAGCAGACAGGAGAAGAGAGATTGTTCAGGGAAGTTCCCCTTCTTAAAACCATCAGATCTCATGAGACTTATTCACTGTCACAGGAACAGCAAGGTTTGAAAGACCCATCCCCATGATTCAGTTACCTCCCACTGGGTCCCTCCCACAACATGTGGGAATTCAAGATGAGATTTGGGTGGGGATACAGCCAAACCATATCATTCTGCCCCTGGTCCCTCCTAAATCTCTTGTCCTCACATTTCAAAACCAATCATGCCTTCCCAACAGTCCCCCAAAGTCTTAACATCATTTCAGCATTAACTAAAAAGTTCACAGTCCAATATCTCATCTGAAATAAGGCAAGTCCCTTCTGCCTATCAACCTGTAAAATCACAAGCAAGTTAGTTACTTCCTAGATACAATGGGGACACAGGCATTGAATAAATACAGCCATTTCAAATGGGAGAAATTGGCTAAAACAAAGGGGCTGCAGGCCCCATGCAAGTTTGAAATCCAGTGGGGCAGTCAAATCTTAAAGCTCCAAAATGATCTCTTTTGACCCTGTGTCTCACATCCAGGTCTCGCTGATGCAAGAGGTGGATTCCCATGGTTTTGAGCCGCTCCACTTCTGTGACTTTGCAGGGTACAGCTTCCCTCCCAGCTGCTTTCACGGGCTGGTGTTGAGTGTTTGTGGCTTTTCCAGGTGCATGGTGCATGCTATCACTGGATTCTGGGGTCTGGAGGATGGTGACCCTCTTCTCATAGCTCCACTAGGCAGTGCCCCAGTAGGGACCCTGTGTGGGGGCTCGGACCCCACATTTCCCTTCTGAACTGCCCTAGCAGAGGTTTTCCATGAGAGCCCCACCCTGGCAGTAAACTTCTGCCTGGACATCCAGGCATTTCCATACATCCTCTGAAATATAGGTGGACGTTCCTAAACCACACTTGTTGACTTCTGTGCACTCGCAGGCTCAACACCCCATGGAAGGTGCCAAGGCTTGAGGCCTGTAACCTCTGAAGCCATGGCCCCCGCTCTACATTGGCCCCTTTCAGCCATGGCAGGAGCGGCTGGCACTCAGGGCACCAAGTCGCTAGGCTGCACACAGCCTGGGCCTGGCCCATCAAACCACTTTTTCCTCTGAGGCCTCCTGGCCTGTGATGGAAGGGGCTGCCATGAAGAACTCTGACATGCCCTGGAGACATTTTCCCCATTGTCTTGGTGATTAACATTAGGCTCTTCGTTACTTATGCAGATTTCCATACAGGGCTTGAATTTGTTCTCAGAAAATGAGTTTTCTTTTCTGTTGCATTGTCAGGCTACAAATTTTTACGCTCTGCT